TAAGAATGTAAAAAATTTGGACAAAAGGCACAAAAAACGACACGTTTTTTATTATTTTTTTAAGATCAAGTAAAAAGCATCGCAAAAAATGCTACCAACTTAAATCTGGTTCAGTGTTGTTTGAGGTTATGTTTTTTGTAATTTATTCAAAAAATATGTAATGATAAATAATCGCTCCGTTTTGTTGAAATTCCTTTAGGAAATTAACGAGTATGCAAAAATGCAATTTGAATTTGAATTCTAAATAAAAAAAAATGTTTTTTTTAACTTACTGGTAAGTGAGAGTTCTTCGACGAGTTCAAGCTTGTCTTTCGCCCTCTCGACCATTTTATTGATGTCACAAACGACGGATTTGTCAGTGGAGTTGGCCTCCACATTGACGAGGATTTTCACCTGTTCGAAAACTTCCTGGACGTTTGTTAGTAAATTTGCTTGTTCTTCTTTGGTTGGTATGACGTTTGAAGCCCCAAACATTGACTAAAATCGCAATGAAGTCAAGTAAACCCGAAATGGGGGCCCCTCTAAACTTACGTCGAATAGCCCCGCACTTAGCAACAGGAGAGACATTTGGTAAAATTTCATTTTAACAACGCGACTAAACTCGTGTTAAATTGCTATTTGTATTGTTTTATTGCTGAGGTGTGTTTTTTTTTTTTCAATGTCAGTGCTTATTTTGCACAAATTTGTCCTCAGATTCTCCACTTGAGTGATACGATAGATTGGATCGGAGGTCGGCCCCCGATTGCGGCCCCAAGTTGTGGTTTTCGGGGCGAAAAATGCATCAGTACGTATGGATTTTTTTTTAAACGGAAATCAGATTTTAGGGAAAAAATTGGTAGCACTTTGTGTTGTCAACTCAAAAAAATAAAATTCACCAGATCCGAGTTTTTTCACAATTTAGTGATTTTTGACTGGGTTTAGTACGAGTTTACGTAAAATGTGTACAACAAATTCCAATTCCAGAAAAATTCTACCGAAATTCTAGTAATTCCAAATTAATTACCATTTAATTCCAAAATAATTCCCGTAATTCTAAATTAATTCTTAGAAATCCAATGTATTTTTTAAAAGAAATTATCTCCGATAATTCCAAAAAGAATTCCAGTAATTTCAGAAAATATCCA